TTGGCTCTCCACCCATGTCAATTACCTTGTACATGAAGAAGAAACTCTGCATCTGTTCTCATTTTACTGAGATAAAATATGCAGTGTACAGTCCTCAAAATTAGTTCTTCATTTACATTGAGAAAAAACCTATTCAAGGTCAGTTTTATATGCTGTTTGGATCAACCCAAATTTGGGATAGTGTATGATGGAAAAATGTAAAAATGTGACTGAAGAAAGAAAAAGTAAAGTTTAATGACAATCAGATGTGGAGGTATTTTTAAAAAGCAAAACTATTTGTCTTTGCAGAGTTGCTCCAAAGACATGGGTAACTCTTTCTGGGGTAAAGCTGGAGGAAGATCTATTACTGCTGTTCCTCTGAATAAGGAAGGAAAGTAGAAAGGTAAAGGAGACACCAAAGACAAACATAAAGGAAAAATGATAGAGGTCACCTCCTGGTAAATGAAAGGTTTAGTTCCTGCAGCAAACCATTTTGTATTGAGATCTTTCAGCTTGTCCAGAAATGCTCTTATGTCCCCAGGCCACATGTGCTTGGCAGCATCAATTCGGAAGCCTGCTACGCCAATATCAATGAGGTAGTTCAGGTACTCAGCAACTTTGGAGCGTACGTAGTCCTTCCCCAGGGCCAGGTCAAGCAGGCTGACCAAGCGGCAGTCTCGGACCTTTGTAATTTAAAAAAAAATAAAAATAAAAATAAAAGTTTTGGGGTGCCTCAGAGTCAAAGCCTTTTCTCCTTTTCACACCACCCTACTAGCAAGAAGGCTGGAGGTGCACAAGCCACTGGGAGGGAACACAGCTGGGACAGCTGACTCCAGATGACAAAAAGGGTATTCCAGACCATAGGGCTTCAGCATAGAAAGCTGGGCGAAGAAGAGGGAAGGAGGGCGTTTTGGAGTTATGGAAGGAGGGAGTTTTGGAGATACGACATTTGTCTTCCCAAGTAACTGATATGTGTGATGCAGCCCAGCTTTCCTGGAGATGGGAAAGTGGTGAATGAATTCCTGAATTTGGGAGGGGGGGGATGTGTGTGTGTGCGTGGCTTTTGCTTTATCTGTTAAATGCTTTATCTCAACCCATGAGTTTTCTCACTTATACTCTTCTGACTCTCTCTCTGAGCAGCTCTGTGGTGCTTAGTCGCCAGCTGCGGTTAAACCAGGACAGTCTGCACCAAGAGGTAGGTAAATTTACTATACAGCTCAACATTCAATTTGGGACAGTTAATGAAGTCTATCACTGCCCTGTGCAGATATCATCAGAACTGAGGATGAGGAATGGCATGGTGTATTGTTCCAAAGTGGACAAAAGAAGAGCAGTAACCTTAATAAAGCACAAAAAAGAGTAAGTCAGCGTACCTTACAAGTACCTTGCACTGCTCTCAGTTTTCCAAGAGGGCTCCTTATCAAAATCTGCTGAGTTTACAAGCTATAAGGAAAAGCTCACTGGCTCATCTGAGTAGGCTGGGCTCATTTCAGGAGCAAACTCTTGCACATGCCCACATGAAATATGCAGTGAGGGTTCCTTATTTCTCTGTACTTCTAATATTTCACACCACAAAAACCTGTCCTGTGCCTATGTTAACTACTTCATTCACTTGTCAGGTGAGTAAGCACAGGTTTTGTGAGACACTGCTCCCTTTATTCAGCCTTACTGTAAGGTTTATATAACAGGTTAAAAAAAAAAAAAAAAAAAAAAAAAAAAACAGGGAAAAGGAAAAAGAAAAAGAATTTCAAACTGATTTCAAACTTTTGCCAGAGAAAGTTACCTGATAGATATCACCATAATTTTCAATTTCTCCACTTCCACTTCGACATTTGCCATCATTGAAATCCCAGCCAGAGTATGGCACAGCTGGAAAATCTCTGTTCCCAGCATTAAAATAGCTTCCACAGGTAGAATGCCTGCCTGAGCCACCTGCAGCCCCACACATGTGGTTGACAACAGCATCCACATAAATACGAACCTGGAAAAGCAGTAAGTGCATTTCAGGGTGATTTGTAATGATGATGAAGTGATAGCCAGAGCTTTACCACAACATTATTAATTCAGACTCTTTTTCCCTTCAGTTTGCTCTCAGTTTATGCCTCTTTTGAAGACAGCAGCAGTAATTCCCCCAGCTGACACAGCACTTCTTGCTGTCTCAGTACAGATTTTTCAAGGCACTTACTCCAACATTGTTGCATCTGGTCACCATGTCTCTGAATTCATTTTCATTTCCTGATCGAGTGCAGAGCTTGTAGCTGACAGGCTGGTACCTTTCCCACCAGGGTCTGTTTGGGTTAGTAATGACAATATTTTCATTTGGAGGTGAAACCTGCAGATGAAATTATGTTCTTTGCTAACAAAACAGTTGGCTTTGTTTCAATGTTTAAGGTCAAAAGCTGCACTCAGACACTGGCAAGAAAGAAGATTTCTTTTGTTCCTGTGGGCTGCCCAGGTCCAGCATGAGCCTGCTTTCAAGGGCATGTGCATAGAAGGGCTGAAGCCACAGGAACTGTTTTTACCTGGAATACTGACAACCTTAGGAAAGCCAAAATTTAATGCATATGCACTTTGCTCAGAACAAGGTAAAGAGGAAAAAAAAAACAGCTTTGCAGGGGAAACCGTGCCCCTTTGTAACTGATCTGATAGAGCTACATCATTCCTTGGTCCTGCAGGCTCCAGGGTTGGGTCTAATAGCATTTACTGCTTCCATTCCCCCCTTTTCCAACATGAAAGCTACAATGCCATTTTCCTACTTACTCACAGAACATTGCTTACCTGAACTCCTCCAAACCCATTAGGAGCCAAGTAGCGCTCACACTCAAGAGCGATGTCGGCCCAGCGCCATTCAAAGAGATGTACAATAGACGTCCTCCCAGCCTGAGTATTGGGGCTGTACTGTCCCCAGCAGAACCCTACAGCTGAGAGCAGGAGGAGGACTTGCATGATGCCTTCAGCATATGGCTGTGTTCTCTCCACTGGCAATTTATACTCCTGCAAGATGACAAAGTTCCTACTGCAGCTGTCAAAATTCACACAGATCAATGCTGAGAGTTATTTTTTGCCTAGCTAGCTCAAAATCATACTTCTATTTTGTCTTTTCCTGGATTGCCCAACAGCTGAAGATAAAATACCTTTTCACAATGATTATACATTCTCATAAACTAAGCAGTCTGCATGCAGGGCACCCAAATTTAGAACTGTACTCTTTCTAATCATGTAAACAAAGCTACTTTATCAAAAGCATTCTGAAACATAGCATACAGACCTCCAAAGAGGAATCTGGAAGGTAAAAGGAAAGGGATATGATTAAAAGACAAATGGAAAATCAACAGCTCTACAAGGATGACTGAGTTCACCAGCATTCAGAGGTGTCTAGCTGTCAGGGTCAGTCTGGGCTCAAACCAGGGGACCTGATCAGTCACTCTCAGCCAATAACAGATATATGACAAACCATGTTGTGGGTCTTTACCAGGTGAATCACACTGGGAAATAGAAACAGCCCCTCTTCATGCCTAAAGGTTTTTTTTAGCACCATTGTTCAGTCCCTTCTAGGAAATGTTATCAGTTTTCTTCACATGGTCATGCAGAGCAACTGTTGCCCTACCTGATGGAAAGTCACCAGTGCTGCGTATCCTCTTCAGCAAAGATGTTGCATAAGTTTCATCTCACTTTAAATGACCAATGATTCATCCGAGTCAAGGAAGGAAACCTAAAATCAGATGTAAAGTGCTACTGCAGGTAAGATTTAGCTGCCCAACATAAAAATGAACTTGAAAGCTAGAGCTGTTATCCAAGTCCTTTCTGGCTTTTCCTACAACTTCTTCCTTCAGGAAAAAAAATAAACCCAAAGTTCCTCACTTGCTGATGACATAATTTCAGGTCTTCATTTGGAACTGATTTATAAGATCCAGGTCTCAGCAACAACGCTCCATGAATAAGCTCAAGTCATGCCGATGATAATACTCTGAGAGACTGCAAAGATCAGAAAATCCCTGAAATCTGATGATTAGCTGTGGGGAAAAAAAAAAAAAAAAGTCCATAAAATGGCACTTCTACTCCAAAAGAAAAGAAACTCAGTGATCTTTGTACCTGGAACTGCCTCTAGTATGTTCTTTCTGAAATTAGCCATGCCATTGAATATGTCACATGCATCCTTCTCTTTCCCAGAATTTGTCTTCAAGGACAAAACGCAGAAGCAGGTCCCATTTACTCACCTGTTCATTTTCATATCACAGACCTTATTAAAGTTCTTTTTCCACGACAACACTGAAATACTAAGTTACTGTGAATGACCTTGTCTAGTTGCTAACAGCAAGGAACCAGTGAGATGATTGCAGCTCATGGTTATCAATTCAGTGAGAACAGACCTGCCCCCCAGATTCCAAACATCCCCAAGTTTAATTTTTACATTACCATTCCCTGTAGGATTCCACTGATGTGATGGTGTGTCACTGCAGAATGTTTAGTTTCCAACACTGCTATGGGTCAAGCAGAGTAAGGACCCACAGCTGATAGCCTGATACAATGGGTGGCCAACTCACCGACAAGGGGACTGGGAGCCCTCATGTGATAGGCTGTTCAGCAGTTCAAGCTGAACAGGCCACAACATTTTAGCATGCTGAGGAAATGAATCGAGGCAGAAGAGAAGGTGACCATCCAACACTGATGATTTATGAGTCTTTCTGAAGTATAACCCCAAGAAAAAAAAAGTATTTAATGTGTGGTTTCAAACATAGCGTCTCTTTCAGTCTGGTAAAAACATCAGGGGCCTAACAAATGGGGTCTGAGCATCAGGGGAGTGTTAGGGGAGTTGAAGCTTTAGGAAGAGTTTGGCTTTGAAATCCCATGGTTTGATCCATTTGATCCCTTAGTACCATGTTAACCGTCGGAAACCTGATTGTGAATAACTGGAGGATGTGGTCTCTAGACATTGAAATGAGGGCCTTTAATTTGCAAGCTTTTACATTGTAAATCTAAACAAACGTTGCACTTAGATGGTCACATGGCTCCTATGTGGCCACAGCAAGCACAGCTCTGGCAATCAAGTGTACAATCATTAGAAGACCACGTTGATTTTGTGATTGAGCTGTATATTGCAATTATTATGTTTTGCTAAGTGTAACTTATATTTGTATTGCGATTTCAGTATATTTTGTATCACTCTGCTAAGTCAGAATCCTTACTGCATACAGAAAAAGTATCTAGCATCAGGTATCTTTAAATAAGTAAAGCTGATATTAAACATTAAACACTCCACATATGGGAAATCTAGAGTAAGCCGGTCAGAGAGTGTTGGGTTCTGACACAATCTCAAGGCAATTGTCTGCCTGGATGTTATTTAGCTTGACCAAATGAATAATCAACATTGTTGTGCTCTGCCATAACAGTGGCTTGAAGGGTACAAATGGGTGGTTAAGTGTGCCTGTGTATTAAATAAAGCATTCAACCACTCACAGACAGGATATAAAAAGCAACATAAAAGACTAAGGGAAATGACAGTCAATAATGCTCAGTTAGCAATGTGAGACTTGAATTACCTTCTTTAAAAAAAAAAAATCTACATTTATTGCTATGAGTATCATAACATCCTACAAAGCTGAGCTTGCCCTCTTCTCAGGAAAGAAATAATTCACAAGTTTCAGTGTTAGCTGCCATAGCAAGCCCACTGGAAATACCAGGAAGGATGGCAAACGGTGGTTTCAGAGAAGCAGAGAAAGTCAGTACAAGAAAAGATTAAGCTGTCATAGCTGTAGGGCCTAGAAAATCAGGGCAGTTTCCACAGCACAGACATATTCATCATCTTGATTGTAAATTTTCAGCTGTCAATATACTGCCACTATCATGCAGTACATGAGGTAACCGAGTTTTGGGATGTTCTAGTACCAGAGAGATGTGCACCCATCCCTTTGCCACCCCAGCTTGCACAAACAAGTGGAAACAGTTTGTATGAAAGGAGGATGAGGGATACCCTGAGGCTGACCCTGGGGGAAAACTCTCAATCTTTGACATCCCTTCAGTG